TATCTTTAAGTATCAAAATATCATGATAGTAAAATTAAAGAAAATAAAGTCGTTAAAAATGTGTTATTTTAACAGTACGAGAATGTTTCCACAAATATTTTTGTTTTTCTAATGACTTTTCTTGATTCAACAGTCTTATTCTTAATGTTTCTTGTTCAGCTAAGCCTGGTATAACTTCATAATAAATTTACCCAGCTGTAAAAACTTTGTGAGTGTGTTGGGGGGCCGGTAGGGGTGGGGGGAATGGAGGTTGGGTGGGGAATGATTGGAGGGAAAAGGAGAAAGTACGGAGCACAATGCACAGATAAAAACATGAAATAAAAACTTGCTAATTAAGCTTCCCTTTAAAGATAAGACTATTTTAGTATGACTTTTCCCCACTCCCGTCTTCTGCACAGTGTATAGTGGTTAGATCAGTAAATATTTTGCAAATGGTTCTTATTGCAAATATTTTACTACCTCAATTTGCATCGTTTTAGCAAAACCCAAACACACGCAATGTTTTAGAAAGGTTTCAGTTAAGCTTTTGCATTAATCAAAGTATACGGTAGAATTTCCCCTCAAAATAACAAACTTTAACTCTATTTTTGAATTGACGTAGGCTGAAAGTATCAGATATATATTCACAACGTGACCTTAAAAGTGTGTTGTAATCATAAATAAATAAGATATCCATGTTTTTAATCTTGAAAAATTATTTTTTTTTAATTGTGGTTTTTCTCTAATAGTAACTTACGGATTTCTGCTAAATTTACAATGAAGGATCTTTTCAGAGCTAACCAATACAAAAACGACGATATCAACCTCATTGTTAATCAGGTAATGGTTGGAAGGTTTTAATGAAGCGTTATTTGAAAGTATTTAAGCCCCTTTAAAGTCTATTTTAGCATTTTAAGTTTCTGTCTTTAGTTCCTTCAGTAAGCCTTTTTAAGTCTCCGAGTTACGATGTGGACTCTAAAAGCCTTCTTACTACTCTCAAACAATCTTCTGCTATATACACAGATGTAATTTATTTTCTATCCCCAAGATAGTTAAATTAAATTTGTCCTGGTTAAGGAGAAGAGAATACAGTTTGTTAGGAAACATATGTCTCGCCACCCTTCACCCGATTAACATTAATCTTCGTTAAATATACAATTTTAACATTTAGTTTTCAAAAACAGAAATTATTTTGAATTTACAAACAAACGGAATAAACTTAAAAAAGAAGAGGACGGTACAAATTTCTTCTCATGTTCAGGTTCATGGAACTACAAATTCCTAATTCATCCCCCTTCAACCCTCCTCAACATCTCTCCCGGGGCCCCCCCCC